TATGCATTTAGTTAGATGTATCTACTTATAACCTATTTATTTTAAGTATTTCCTAGTCTTAGTTATAGGTTTTTATAAAATATATTATCAAATATTCCCAAGTGTACATAATATCAGAAAAGTAGAAAAATCTGACCTTATTGTGCATAATTTTCAAACATTTGTAAGATAGGAAAGGCCGCTGTTTTCTCTGTATTATATAAGGTTAGATTCTATACAAGCTCATATTATCTAACTTTCGCTGTGATGTGATTTTTCATTGGTTCTGATGCTCTATAATATTAGCTTTATATTTTCTGTCAATATCTTGGGTCGATTTTTTTTGAAATAAGCAAGAGGAAGATTTGGACGGTAGCAGAATAATACGACGACATATTTTTACTTAATTTTCTGTATTGTTGATAAGCAATAAAACGAAGAAAAATAGTTTTATCATGCCATTCCATGCATTATTTATTTAGCAATATAGAAATACTAAATAAAATTATATTGCCGTATTCTGCTACCATCTAATTTCCTTCCTGTTACTCCATATTATATTTCGCGTCCAGCTGATGTTTTTGAAGGAAAATTTCAAATTAAATGCTTGAATTAAATGCTTAAATGAAATAATGCTTGAGAAGTTAAATTTGTAAGAACTTTTCCCTGTTCTTTATAGAAAGCGTTTTCTGATAAAGTTTTAATCATTAATCATTTTAAGGTATTTATTTTTTGTTTTAAAAGCATCAATAATTTTCTTTTCTTCTAAAATACAGCCTATTTTATCATAATATGAATTCAATTTGTTTACAAAACATATTTTATAAAAGTCATTGCTCTAGTCCTCTCTCTCTCTTTACTCTAGTCATTTGTAATTTCAAAATTGTCATAATCAGATAAGAAAATTGTAAAATAAAAACCTCACTGCATGGTTTTAAAGTTATATTTTCATTTTGAGTGTGTGAAAATTGTAACTTTAAAAAATATTCTTTTTCTTCTTACTCTCTTAAAATATAAATATTAATTATCATTTATTTTCATAAATAAAACTGTAGCTTTATTTAAAGATTTAATCAACATGGAGAAAAATTATTGTTTGAGTTTTTAAATAGTCATTTTTCTTAATAGTGATAGAAAGGAAGATAATTTAAAAATAACCAAATTAATTACATCCATAAATTTTCTTCCACAAAGCAAAAAATATCAAGGAGAATAGGGGGTTGGTTAAAAATTGCTCTCAAGAAAACAATCACATATTTTTTTAAAAAGAAAACTATTCTACAAGACCCTTTCACTGCTCTCAGTTGGAGTGGACAATTGAGCGAATACTGATTCGAAAATATCTCAAATTCAAAAATTTTAATTAATTATCAGAAAAATCACAATGACACCTAACCATAAAAATATTTACNCACGGTATTTCTCAGAATACTGGCCCCAGAAGGGAAAAAAACCAGAGGGAGGACCGAGCTTACTTTGCAATTCATGATGTTTGTTGGAGATCTAGAGATTTCTGGATGGGAATATGCCAGGTATGTTGTTAAAAATAAATAATATATATGCCGAGATATGCGAATGTGACAAAAAGCACTAAGTGTATAAGTTAGTATAAAGAAATCTATACAACCACTTTTCTAATAAAATGTGGTTTTCATGGATCACTTTTTGTAGCCTGGCATTGATGAAATAAATGTACCGAGATTTGGTTTTGAAATTTTACCCCACTCAAATCATGTTTACTCACTTATTTTTGACATTCACATTTTTCCTTTATTAAAAAAAAAAGGAAAAAATGCACATCGATATAAAATTTAATACAGAAGAAGGAAGCAGAAAACAATGAAGAATTTTTTTAAAATTTATGTTAATAAGATAAGAGGATAACTTTGGATAAGTCGATCATGATGAATCAATGTAAATTAGACTGTCTGAGATAATGTTATATCACCTGGATAAACATTATTGCACTTATTTGAGCAATTGATTTCAGATATTGCGGCAATCTACAGAGACACATTTATAAACTTGGATAATGCTTTATGTAGTCCTGATTGAATAAATTTAACCTTTGTCACAGAATTATTATTAAACATATTCTCATAATTTTTTTTTATTATTTTGTATTATTTTATGTTCAAATATGTGAAAAATTATATTTTAAGCATCTTAGTAATTTATGGTTATCATGAACCATCGGTGTCACTTTCTGAGTTTTATGTAAAATTTTCCAAACACGGCTCACTTCCAAACAAGTTTTTAAATCTGCACTTATTTGTAGTTATATCAGTTAAGATAAACAGTTACTCATCTTTGAAATTTCTTTAATTCACAAAATCAATTATTGATTAATTTATGAATGTGAAGAGAAAAAAATGTTTAACTGCTTTTTTGTACTTTATATTTTAGTACAAATATAAATCAGATAATGTAACACATTTTTTTAGTAATTATTTGACTGTTTTTATGATAGAAAAATACCAAAATATATTTTTGCTTGTAATTAGGGCGTCAGAAAAAATATATACATAAAAGGGATACCTAAGTCCTATCTGCGTCAAAGGGTTAAGCGCCATTAAAAAACGAAAACAATTAATACTAGGAAATTTTAAAACATTCAAGCAAAATAGAGTTGCATGTTATGTTAGTGATGTGAAAGGGCAATCTGGAAATAATGTTTCTTTAGATTTGTACAAGAAAATTCTTTCATTAGGTCAGAAATAAATTATGATGCTTGTTTTCTTTCTTCTTTTTTTTGCGAATTATACAGTATTTTCTCAAGTGCATGGCGCGGAGCTGGTAGGACATCATGCACAAAATATACAGTACCTATGAAAAGGCATCGACCAATTTGGTGGATATATGGGAAACTGGACAAACGTTTCAACTTTGAAAAGAGGCACATTTACAGAAAGTAAAAAATAAGTTTCTACTTTTGATCTTGCTTATGGGCTAAACCTTTGGACAATGAACGTACGTTCTCACTGCTTTCATATCGCAGTTAGATAAAGTTTGATAACTGTTTATTACAGTTATCAAACTAAATGTAATTCTTACACGATGTAATTCTTACACGATACGTTACTAAATTTTATTTAACCATACAGGGGCGTACGCAAGGGAGGGGTTTAGGGGTTTAAACTCCCCCCTTGAGCTCAGACAAACTGGCAAAAATAAAAATTTTAGTAGAAGTTATGCGGGCTATTATTTTTTAAGACTATATATTTTTATTTGCCTTATGCCTACTTTCATTTTTCACGGTATTTCTCAGAATACTGAAAAAACATTTACTATAAAAGGGTTATACTTTTGAAACCAAATTCACGTGATACTGTTACGGGCTGGTTCGCAAGAATGTAACAATTTTGAATTATTTTGATAAAAAATCACGACCTGAAATTAGTTAGGTGACAGCATCTAGAACCAATAAAAGTTTTTCTGTTGAATAGAAATGCCATTCTTCCGTTGAAGAAAACGTTTCTAGCATAACAAAATCTGATGAATGTGAAAGTGGACCCCAAAGTGTTACTTCCCACCCATATGACATTGGACTTTTTTCAGAAGATATTACATTATGTTCTTAAACTTAAAAAATCAAATCAAAATTTAACAATGTTGTCTAAATAAAAAGTCAAAATTGTCTAGCTGTCTAAATTAGAGAAATAATAGTGCTTTATTACAGACTCGAATTTCTTTTAGTAGTTTCAAAAAATTATGAACACCCCCCTTGAAAAAATTCTGCGTACGCCACTGTATGAGTTGATCTTTTCCTTGGTTTTTAACACTTCCATCGCTGCTATGAAGTTTCTTCGTTTCACCCTGTGCGCTAAAAGTTACCTTCTTTTTTGCGAAAACTTCAAAAAGGTTTTCAAAATGGCGCGTCTCGCGCCATCTTATAGTAATGTTGTTAGGACAAGTAGTAAGGCGATTTTTTCGTTTCTCCGATGCGAATTCGAACCACTCTTCCATTAATTTTTCCTTGGAATACATAACTAATTTTTTTTTATTTCATTTTCCGTCGATTTTAAAGTATTTTCTTTTATAGAAACACATTTTATTTGAATTACTCTAAACAAAATAAACATATGGTATCAGACAACTTAAGGAATAATAATTTGGTGACTTAGTCCATGATTGCTGCAGCAATAATGTTGTTTATTAAATTTATCTGTTATTTTGAATAAAAACTAATTAAATAAAGTACGTGCAAAAAACTTTTTTTATCTATCAGAAGCTAGCAAATATCACTAATGTTTTCTTTAAAATATTTGAGAAATTGAATCGTCTGTAGTTAAATTTAAAGCAATGGATAACGCTTAACCAATCAGAATTTCGTTTTTCGGTCATCCCGCTCGAACGGTATGCGGTAGAATTCTCTTATGTCAACAACCTTTATCGTGCTTCGAACTATCTGTATACCAAATTTCATCGCTTTCTGCAGATGATTTAAGAGTCTAAAAAACAAACTGAGACAGTCATTAATTTTTGTCTATATAGATTACTTTGTCTCTTTTATAGCTAAATAGAAATTTTATAATTAAATTAGCATTATTTTAATTTTTTGATAATCTAACTGAACTCAGTTTCATATACATATCCTGAATTACCTTCGAGCAGTTTAGTATAGCAAAAAATTAAAATAATGCTAATTGCATTAACATTATTTTAATTTTTTGCTAAAGTAACTGAACGCAGTTTCATATACATATCCTGAATTACCTTCGAGACAAAAGTGAAAACATGATGTTTGTATAAATTTAAAGTAATTGTAATTAAAGAAATTCATGAATATTAAGGATTACGAGGTCATTTAAATGCTTCTCTTCATAATCTGATAAAACGTTTGAACGATTTTGAACAGAGTAACAACAAATACATACCGGAAAAAACGTAATTGTAATTATAATTTAGAGCATTGACTAACTTAAAAATCCGAATTTTATAAATGAAATCATTACTAGTACATATTTATGATTATTATTGCAGTCAGAAGGTTTTTAGCATTATTAAAAGACGATAAATACCTTTTAAAGTATCTGAAGTGACGAGCAACGCATGCGAATCTCGTAACTACTGTGATTGCGACATCAGTTTATAAACAAGTTTTTACAGTTGATCGTTCGCGTTCGTTATCTTTCAATAGTATTATCATGTGTTTTCTGGCATAAAATTAACAAAGAATATTTTGTTGAATGAATAATTTATTGTTTCCTTTCATAAATAATTATTTATTTATTTATAAAATGGAATGCCCTTTCACAAAAAGATGCTACACCATAAGTAAAAAGAAACTAGTAATTTTAAAAGATCGAAGGTTAGATCGAGCACTATTTTATCTTATATATCATTAGCTTTAATATTTGAAGATAAGAATGAGGATACAATAGCAAGGAGTCTATCAAGGCATCATTGAAGTGCATCTATCTGACGTTAGATAATATCGCTTAGCTACATGAGTTATTTATTTATTCAATGACACTGAAATAACACTTTAATTGCCATAATCAAGTCTTATATTTACCAGGGAATAAAAAAAGAATATTTCGATATTGATGCATATAGAATTAAATTATTATTTTATTTATTTAATTTGGATTAATAAAATTAAATTTACTCATGGCTATTTACGAGTATTTTATACGTGGTGCCCTTTTTTCTAATATTAACTGAAGAAAATATGCATTTAGTTAAATGTATCTACTTATAACCTATTTATTTTAAGTATTTCCTAGTCTAAGTTATAGGGTTTTATAAAATATATTATGAAATATACCCAAGTAACATGTAATATCAGAAAACTGAAAAATCTAACGTTATTTGCATAATTTTCAAACATTTGAGAGATAGAAAAGGCCGCTGTTTTCTATGTATTATATAACGTTAGATTCTATACAAAGTAATATTATCTAATTTTTACTGTAATATGATTTTGCTTTGGTTCTGATGCTCTATAATATTCGTTTTATATTTTCTGTCATAATTTTGCGTTGATTTTTTTTTTGAAATAAGCAAGAGGAAAACTTGGACTGTAGAGAATAATACGAGGACATATTTTTACTTAATTTTCTGTATTGTTGTTGAGCAGTAAGACGAAGAAAAATAGTTTTATCATGCCATTCCATGCATTATTTATTTAACAATATAGAAACACTAAATAAAATTATATTGCCATATTCTGCTACCATCTAATTTCCTCCCTGTTACTCCATATTATATTTTGCGTCCAGCTGATATTTTTGAAGGAAAATTTCAAATTAAATTAAGAAATAATGCTTGAGTAGTTAAATTTTTAAGAACTTTTCCTCTTCTTTATACAAAAACTTTTCGGATGAATTTTTAATCATTAAACATTTTAAAGTGTTTATTTTTTGTTTTAAAAGCATCCCTAATTTTTTTCCTTCTAAAATCCTACCTATTTTATCATAATCTGAATTTAATTTGTTTACAAAACATATTTTATCAAAGCCAATACTCTAGTCCTCTCTCCTTTTACTCTAGTCATTTGCAATTTCAAAATTGTCATAATCAGATTGTAAAATTGTAAAATAAAAACCTCACTGTATGATTTTAAAGTTAGATTTTCATTTTGAGTGTGTGAAAATTTTAACTTTAAAAAATATTCTTTTTCTTCTTACTATCCTAAAATATAAATATTAATTATTATTTATTTTCATAAAATAAAACTAGCTTTACTTAAAGATTTAATCAGGATTGAAATAAAATTGTTGTTTGAGTTTTTAAATTGTCATTTTTCATAATAGTGATAGAGATAAAAATAATTTAAAAATAAACAAATTAATTACAGCCATAAATTTTCTTCCAATTCTTCTCTCCCTAAAATTAAATAGAGAAATATTCACCTAACTTTATTTTTAAAATTTCTAAGATTTTACCTAACAAAAAACCTGAAGCAAAATTTAAAGGTACCTGTAAACAATTTTTTTCAGGGGGTGAAACCAGAAAAACATTTATTATTTTAAAAATTGCCAATATTTTTTTTATGTTATAAAAGTAATTTTAAGGGGCATTTTTAACAATTCTATAATTATTTGAAGCTACTATGTACAAAAACAACAATTTTTGCCAAAAAGTCTACATTACATTTAAACTTAAGAAAAGCAGTAAATACTGTGTTTCATCTAAATTAAGTTAGAACAAAAATGCAATTGATATGAAGCAACATACATTTTTTAAATCAACTTGTGAAAGCTGCATTTAGTAATTATGATTATGTCCGACCGAATAATTGTCCGACTACTAATGATTGTCCAACAAGTCCAACTATCATCAGTTACTATTTTGAGAACGCTGCTATCACAAAACTTACTTTTATTTAAAACAAAACAATTCCATAACATGTATTTTGCTGATAAGTTATTATGAATTACAAAAATAGTAAATAAGCCTCCCCCCCCCCAAAAAAAAACAAGGAGTAATATGTAAACATTCTAAACGGAACTTTTTAAAAGAAGATCACAAAAATATATTCTGCATTTACAAAACATATTGTGCAAAGAATATACAGGACTTAACGAATGAAAATTTAAACAAGATTTATTTTCTGCAATAATTAGAATTTTTTTCAATCATCATTATTTCTTTATTATATTAAATTAAACAAGATAAAAATATAAAATAAATACTTTTTGTTTTCAATATTTTTGAATAATTTGAAATTAAAGTAATAAGCACAATGCTGATAATATAAGTACTTATATGCTTGAGATAGTGTTTAATGTCAATGTTAAAAGTGAGTGTAATGAGTGCCCCTCCAAAATAATTTTTTTTGCAAAAAAAAATTTTTTTTAATATTTTTTTTGAAAAAAAAACTGGGTTTTTAATGCTAGTTCATTTTTTCTTTCATAATGAACAATAGAATTGTACATAAATAATTCAAGTATTAATAATTCACGCGTGGTGCCAGATTTTAGTTACGAGTTTCGCAAGTTTCCCTTTTTCACCTTTATACAATCTTTGGTTAAACCTGTTGAAGCGCGATTCAACATTACTATTGTTTACAATGAAACTATGACGAATTTCGTTTTAATCTTTTGGATTATGATTCTTGAAACAGTGAAGAACATAATTAAATGAAGAAAAAAAATCGAATTTTTCCGACCTACCTAGGTGTATATGCCCCCGTAAATAATTTTTAAAATATTTTTTTTTTTGTAAACTATTAAAAATATTATTATTTTTTTAAATTTGGGGGGTGTCATGACTCCAATGACCCCCCCCCCTCGCTGGATCCGCCACTGGAAACGTGGCGGTGACTATGGTAACGAGGCATATAACTATTTCAAGTAGGGTTGTGGCGTCACTGTTTAGGACATTTTTTGGCCCGGGTAGGTGGAGGAAAGCGATTATTATTCTTCAAAGTGAAGAGAAGCTACTCCCCTTGAAATGCACTATTCTTGTTTCCGTAGCAGCAGACGACCTCAGACTTTGTGGTGCAGGGAATTCTTGCCGTAGACAAACGATACGACACCTAAACTCTTCACCAGAATGTGTCATTTCCATTTACAAAGTCCGACAGCCCTTCCTTCTCAAAATTGAATTAGCTCTTGAAAACAAACGGTAGTTCCAACCTAGTGGATTGGCTTGAAGACGAAGCTGAAACTATAATAGAAAGAAAAAAACTTACATTGAAAACTCTAAAATTAAAACTATTAAGCCTTGAATATTTATTTGAAGCAACAATTATTTCATTTGAAAAATATTTTAAAAAATTTTAATATCCATTACAATGAAATTGGTTGAGTAAATTTCGGTATTGACGCGTGGGGCCAAGCAAGGAGCAAAAAATATCAAGGTGAAAAGGGGGTTAGTTAAAAATTGCTCTCACGAAAACAATCACATATTTTTTTAAAAAGAAAATTATTCTACAAAGCACTTTCACGCCTCTCAGTTGGAGTGAACAATTGAGCGAATACTGATTCGAAAATATCTCAAATTCAATAATTTTAATTAATTATCAGAAAAATCACAATGACACCTAACCATAAAAATATTTACGTTCACTGCACAAGCTTATGCTGCCTATATATATATANTACACTGAGTGGCCAAATTATTATGACCACCTCAGAGTTTTATGCAAATGAGTTATTGCGTCACAGCGCTGCCACTAGAGGGCAAGATAACTATAACACGGGAATGCTGGACAAATGAGTCATCAGTAATACTGTGTTGCTTGCTCAGATATGGGAAAGAAAAGTGATTTAACTGAATTTCAACGTGGAGTGATTGTGGGTGCGAGATGTCTCGGAACGAGTATCAGCAAAACGGCTGCACTTGTGGAGTGTTCTAGATCAGCAGTTGTTAATGTGTACAAAGAATGGACAATCAAGCAAAAAACCGGGTCTCAACGTCAGACTTGTGGTCTTCACAGGGTACTGAATGCTCGATCAGAGAGAAGGCTGGCCAGGGTTGTGCAGCGAAACAGGATAGCAACAGTGTGACAAATTGCAAGTGATCTTAATCAAGGAGCAACTGTGAACGTCTCTGAATGGACTGTTCGACGCACACTGCGCCGTATAGGGGCGCATTGCGCCGTACTGAAGGGGTGGTCATGATAATTTGGCCACTCAGTGTATATAACAGTCGTCTTTGTATGTTATACTTGTAATAAGTCTTGGTAGTCCGGATATTTTACTTCTCCAGAAAATAAGGTTGCTACATTGCTAGAAATTTTTCGGAAAAAGTGGTTGGTCAAATAACAATTTATTTAATTTTTATTTCACCATATTCAAACTAAATTGCCAAATAACCATAAAAAAGATGGTAATGACACTGTCAACTGTGAGAAAACCGTTTATTAACTGCTTTCACCTAATAAGGTTAAACAACCAGAATTTTATCGCCCCAACTGAGCCCATCTAATGAAATCACTTAGCTGCTTGAAACTGTGTGCATATTATAATCGAGAGGGCAAATTTTCCAGTCTCATGACAGACAGAACAGGGGCCCGAGTCCCATCATTGACACATCAACATTTCCAACTCCATTCCCTTCAGCGCTTCAGGAGTTTCTAGTGTCCTGCACTCTGCATTGCCTATAACCTAACAAAAAGCAAAGCTTCTACTGTGCTCCGTTACATTTCTTTTTAACCGTTTTGAAACCATGCTAATTGTGAATGGTTAGAAAAACGTGCATAGTTTTGCATTCATGGTCGGATAACCACACAAGCTGTAAACGGCTTCCAAACCATAAAGGCAAAATTTTTAAACGGTAAATTTTATTGTTATCCGTATGGACAGACTTCTGCTAGTTATTTTACCATAATTTTAGAATAAAAATCCGAATGGTGCATAAACTGACTTTATTACCAATTCTTTTCTCTTTTTCAGAGTACAAACAGCCATGTAAATTTGTTGTACTGAGCAATTTCTTTAGAAGGGGAAAAATCATTATTTAAGTCTGATTTATCATTGTCATATACACGACAAAAAGATATGACATGCATATTGATATTTTTTTATCAACGCTTTACATTTTTATTCGCTTATTATCTGCAAAGGAAAGGTTATTTATCAGTTGAAGCTATCACTTCTACGAAAACTCTTTAAAAGGAATTATTTTATTCAATTCGCACAGAAAGCGATAGGGTTTGTTCATGACTGTAACAACTACTATTACATGAGGTAAGATGAATTGTTTATTTTATTATTTTACTAAAATTTAATTACATCAATACTATTTGCTTTAATTTTTTATGCTCGCATAAATTAGGTAAGTTTAAGTCGTTTGACTGGAACTATACTTTAAACAATTAAATAAAAGTTCCAAAACATTTTTGAGCATTTCAATCGCCAATTTTTCTGAATTGTTCGTTGCATTTTAAATTTAAAAGTAAATTCAAATTGTATTCTTTTTATTTAAACAACTGGATAATAGCTTTTAGAGATGGTTTTAAGTATGATTAAATATGAATAAAGTAAACAAATAAATGCACGAAGATCACATGGTTGTATGTTAAACTAATTTGTCCCAATTGCGTATGTTAGAATGGTTCGAATCAATGAGAAGCAAAGCCATCGTTTGAGTAATATTTTGTAGTTTTGAAGGAGAATTCATTCGTAATTTGCGACTGACAGCTCATACTTTACTGATTTGTCACGATATTTCAAAATAAACTCACTGTTTATAACCGGACCAAGAATAACTACATTTTTGGAATAAATAAAGTGTTTGAAGATAAATCTTTATGTGATTAGCATTGCTTTTAACCACCAATGTTCAGCATAAACATTTGATGAGAGTTAGCTTTTATTTAGTTTTTTTTTAATTTTTTGTAAAAAATATAAAAATTGGCTGCTATTAGCTGGTTTTTATATTGGAGAAACAGAATGTGTGACATGCTTCAGTGACATGATAATTGAATAATATTGAGTATTTGATTTAGTAATCAAGAGGTATTATGTTTTTAATTTAAATGATGGTGAGTATATAGGAAAATAGATCTTTCAACGTTCTAAAAAAGTTTAAAGGAAGGTAAATAAAGGATTTTTAAATATGATACATTTTACTTTATTTTCTCACATTTTATCAAAAAATGCCATTTATATACTAAATTTATATTTGTTAATTTATTAAAATAGCCTGATGTAGAAAAAGGAAAAATGCTGAAATGATCAAAGAAAAAATTTCTTAAACCGAATGTGCATATCTGTTCCATCAAATTTTGTAGATTGCATGTGAGACCAGAACTGTTTGTTACCATTTCTTTCTAACAGGTAGAATTTTGAAATTTTTTCACATTTTTTTTAAAGACTTTATTGCTAGAATGAAGTGTGATAGTTTTTTGATTTGCAAATATATTAGATAATAATAATTTTTAGCAATCTGCCGTACCCTAGACGCTTATTATCATTATATATATATANCAAGTTAAAACTATGGTTACAAAAATCTAATCGTGTGAATGTGAATTTTTGTCAAACATCTACAGCTCATTATATATATATATATATATATATATGTTCAAAATGTAGAGAAAACAAGGGGAAAATTACAGAGCAATGAACAAAGGGGAAAAAAGGATAAAAAGTAATAAAAATAACAAAAAACCAGAAAATAAAAGATATAATCTTCTCATCAGCTCACACGATTATATCCGCAAGAAAGAGTGCTTTCTAATATTGCATCAATATAGCCAAAGCAAAATATATCAATGCAATAGTTTGAGAAGTACTCATAAAATTTTACCAAAAAATTACAACAAATAAAATAGAACACAATAAGTAAAAATATCACGTAAAAACAGAAAATAAAATATAGAGAAAAAACAGAATAAAACATGAGATAAAAACTATAAAGCGAGTAGCGAATTCAAATGAACTTACATGAGCGGAAATTTTTCAATAATGATTTAAAATATTTTCGTAACAAGATTGCCGGATTGCAAAAAATAAAAACAAAAGCGTAAATTGAGCTAAAAGCGTAACTAGGGCAGTTTTGTATTACAGTGCGTTCTTGCTGCATTAAGTGCGTTTGATTTGTTAGTTACCACGGATGAGCCCGAAAATGGATGTGCGCAAAGTAATATTATACGGGATAATTTAAAGAAGTTGACAATAAATAATTTTAGAATTAAAAAAAATATATAAAATAGAAGAAACATGAATTGGCTGTTTTCCACATAATTTCAGCCACGGATTTGCCCGAAATGGATTTGCACATGGAAAACATTAACAAAGAAATTTTTTTAGTAAATAACTTTTGCCACGGATTTGCCCGAAATGGATTTTCACATGGAAAAATTATATAAATTAACATAGAAAATTTTCACCAAATAAGTCCAAAATATACGATTAATTCAATGATTTTATATAGAATTTTATTACTTTAGTTGGGTATCCATTGTTTTTTTTAAATCAAATTTTGAAAGAGTTTATCTGTTTGTTTTTTGGATAAATAAATATCACTACATATTCTTTTAATTCTATTCATTTCATTAAAAATGGTATTTAAATATATATTCATAGAAACATTAGAATTCCAAGTAATTAGTTAATTAATATTAAAATTAAAATCATTTCTTTTATCGTATAAATGAACAAAGCAGATATTTACTTCTTTTAATACCCAAATCCAAAAAATATAAATTAATATTATTATCATGATTACGAAGCAAGATTAATTCCTCGGGGTAAATATTATTTGAAAAAATAGTATAATCTTGAAAATTAAAGATAGTTAAATCATCAATAAATCTAAAAACAAATTTAATACTAAGAGTATAATTTTTTTCATAATAATGCAAAAATAAGTTAGCTAAGATAGATGAATAATTAGATCCTTGCGGTATTCCACTTTTAATGAAATGAGTAGAATTAAAAGAATATGTACTAATATTTATTTATCCAAAAAACAAATAAACTCTTTCAAAATTTGATAAAAAACAATGGATACCCAACTAAAGTAATAATATTCCATATAAAATTATAGAGTTAATCATGTATTATTGTAGATATATTTACTAAAAATTTTCTTTGTTAATTTATATAATTTTTCCATATGCCATTAATAAATCCATTTCCGGCAAATCCGTGGCTAAAATTATTTAGTAAAAAAATTGCTTTATTAATTTATATAATTTTTCCATGTGCAAATCCAATTCCGTCAAATCAGTGGCTAAAATTATCTACTAAAAAATTTCTTTGTTAATTTATATAATATTTCCATGTGAAAATCTATTTCCCGCAAATCCGTGGCTAAAATTATTCACTAAAAATTTTCATTGCTAATTTATATAATTTTGCCATGTGCAGATCCATTTCGGGCAAATCCGTGAATAAAATTATTTACTAAAAAAAATTTTTCCTGTGCAAATCTATTTCGCGCAAATCCGTGGCTGAAATTATGGGTTAATAAGTGAGGCTACGGAAATGTTCAATATGATATCCACATTTTTTTCTTTCGACTTGAAAATGCGAAATAGCATATATGCAACAAATTGAAGTGTTCAGTAAACAAGGAATTGAAGCGTATTGTAAAAGAGTAAACAAGTGAGGGTAAGGAATTGTTCAATATGATATCCACGGTTTCTCTTACTTACTTGAAAATGCACGTAGCATGCAGGCAGACAATAAATTAAAGTGTCCACTACGCAACAAACTGTAGTCTTCTATAGGGAACAAATTAAAGTGTTCAGAAGACAACAAATTGATCTGTTTTAAAATTGAGGCAACAATTGAGGGTATGGAAATATTAAATATGATATCCACGGTTTTCTCTTACTACTTGAAAACCAAAATATCATGTATGCCACAAATTGAAGTGTATGGAAATAAATGTGAAAAGTGTGGGCATGAAATGTTCAATATGATGTTCACGGTTTGTCTTACGACTTAAAATGTCATGAAGCATGTTGGCAACGAATTAAAATGGCCAGTACGCAACAAACTAAAGTTTTCATTAGGTAACAAGTTAAAGTGTTCAGAAGGCAACAAATTGATCTGTATTAAAATTGAGGCAACAATTGAGGGTATGGAAATATTAAATATGATATCCACAGACGACTCTTACGACTTGAAAATACAAAATACCATGTATGCCACAAATTGAAGTGTATTTAAATAGAGGAGAGAAGTGTTTACAATGAAGAATAGTTTATAATTAATAATATTAAAGATTTATATATTTCTCCTGAAAATCAACTATAATTGAAGTGGATCTACTGTTAGGTTTTTCTGTTTTAGTCCGACTTAAAGGCTTGATTGTAGTCAGAGCAAAAACATACGCATATCTTTTAAAAACGACCGCATTTCCATGCCGCTAGGCTAACCCAGGGCTGAAGAGAATAGAAGGGTTAGTTTATTCCTCTCTTAGAACTGAAGCTACGATTTCTCTCCTCATGACGTCACTGTGTACACAGATCTTGGAGATTGCAAGCAGAAATATTATGAAAACTTAGCATCATTCTCCCTGTAAAAATAAGTTCGACTTTTTCTTAAAATTAAATTTCAAACTTTATACAATTAGCACATTATTTCCCTTGAAAAACATAGCTAAAAATTTTTCTTTACCAAAATATTTAATTAAGTACCATTTTAAACTTATAAAAATATCTTACTAGTTATCGCAAATGACGCTATAAATACTTTTTTAAAATTTTCGCTTTTAACTTTTATTATACTAATATTTCTTTGTTATAAACTTTTATTTTTATTATTATTCTACTGTAAAAAATTTTAATACATATATCGACACTTTTTTAGTTACAAATTGTTCGATAACAATAATTTGTAAAGTTGGGTTAAATTTAGAATCCTGAATTTAAAATATGCTGTAAATGGCAATTGGTTTATACTTAATCATTAGGAAACAACAGCCTTAAATGCTAATTAATGTAACAAAATAATAATTTAGATTCATAATAATATTAGAAATTTTACAATTGCTTATAGATGTTTAAATTTAAAAGAAAATAGTTTAAGAATCATACATATTTAGAATAACTACATTAAAAATTACGTTATGAAATTCGGAAAATTTTAACTATTAATTATTTATACTTTTTATTTAAGTTTCTTTTCGTTGACTTTATCCATATTTTAATATGTTCGTCGGCCTTTCTTTTTGAAGTAACTGGGTGGTTTCAATTTACATTGCGAATTCTTATAAAAGTTTTGAAAGACAAAATAAGCACATTGCTGTTTTATTCGCTGCGGGATATCGTCCCTCTAATTCATTTATAAGTTCTTTGATGATACTTTCTGATTTTCTGTAAAACGTTCCATGTACACTTTGAAAATTGTTCTCAAATTCCTGACAAACTTCCATCCATGCTGTTGATGGAACAATTAATCCTCCCAATTAATCTTATCTTATAAGAGAGCACTTGGTAGAGTTAGGACAATTTTAAAAACATTCTAATCGGCAATCTAAGCAAACTTCATAATCTTCTTTCAAGAAATGCTTACTGCATATTCATGCAGATTTTATATAAAACTGGGTTATTTCGTTTGCAACGTTGAAGCCATTCTTTACATAGTTGTTCATTTACTTTAGGAAACACGTTGAAAACTACATTTTTTCCTTTGTGTTTCTATCAGATTTTGCACGTTGCAATCGCACACACTGGCATTTTGTTAATAATTTTAAATTTTTGTAACTCACATAAGGAAACTGAGGAAAATAATTATAGAAAACAGCGAATGTCTTGGAATATGTCACAAAAAAGAATGCTCCAATATTAGTTAGAACTAGTTAGACCGAACTCTTCGTTCTTGAAGTAACAGTTCAAGCGTTGCGCCACCGTGAAGTCACAGGCGAAAGTCGGAGATTTGGCGTGGCGAGAGTTTCCTCAAAAGAGTGAACTAGCCCTTATATTCTCTTTAGCCCTGAGGGTAACCATGAGAGGGTCTCGTGGTTTCAATATCCATGTAACGCAAATGTGGGTGATTTCCATCAAAAAGTTCTCCACAAAGACATATTTTACCCAATATTTGATACAGGAGTTTCATTATCTTCTGTATTACGTACAAAATTACAAAGATACGGAGTAGAAAATTACAACGCTACCTTTAGTAGTCGCAAATTCAAAAATTGGGTCGACTGTTCAACGACGGTTATAAAATGAAATAATTGATTAGCGTTATTTATTAAGTTTCGAAATCAAACTCAAAAACATACTTTGTCGGTATATCAGAATTTCGATTTCAAATGATAATATCGCCACCTCTCGGGAAGTGCAAAGGGAATCGAAAACCATTATGTAATTCATTTTTTA